TCAGCAGGAGAGTTCGCTAATTCTTGTTGAAACCATTTTCTTATGATAGATTTCAACAAACAGTCCACATACAATGATGATATAATTTCGTTCAAAATAATATTTTAGAATTTGTCCAAAAAAACCAATTTTAAAATTTACATAAGTGTCTCACAATTCTCATAGACTTAACATATGTAATACATAAAGTTTGATATTCATAACACATTAATTTCATAAGCCTATGCATGAAATTGCGCATTTGAGTTTTAAAAAGTTATTGTCTGGTGTGTCGTAAACAAATTTTACCAATTGATAGAAATTTTGAGGCATTTGTCATGGATTTCAATACATTTTTTTAGCAAATTTATGTTTCGATTCGAATCAAAAAAATCATCCAGAGCTCTTATTTCATTAAACTTAAAATAAAAAAGGCTGGTTTGATGAGAAAAATTCAATGATACTAAAATTGATCAAATCAAACTCGAATTAAGCCTAGATCAAGACATTGAAGAACGTTGGAGGCTTGGGATGGTTAATTAGACGCTAAAAATTTGACATGCTTATAATTAAATCAAGCGTCTCGATGTAATAAATACAATGAGCCTAAGTTGTTTAATTCCGAGATCATTAAGACCATTATATTAACAAATAGCCTCTTGTGATCAAGGGGAATCAACATGATTGTTCCCTCGAGTGATTGTTCGTTAAACTATTGGAATGCCTCTCCTTTAAGGCCTAAAAATAGACCCCTCTCTTCCTTGGAGGGGGAAAAAAAAAGAAAGAGAAGGAGTTGATTTCTAGTGTTGTTCTATATTGAAAACTTGACGATAATTTCCAGTTTTCGCAATCGCTGACTACCGCTCTCCGACTGACATTGACCACCACAGGGCACCCCTTCCTCGTCGTAGTTGGACTCTATTGAGCTTTGCAATGACATTGACCACCACATCAAATTTTGGGATTAAAGACTCGATGTTAACTCTCAGCGACAACTACTCTCTACTACTTCGTTAAAAATACTAACTCATTTTATATGTTGTGTATGAACAAACATTATATTTGGTTTATTAATGCGTTCATTCCCAATTGCAGGATAAAAATCTATTTTTGTACTTGTAACCTTATGAGAATCATTTTAATTGGTCAAGACATTGCAATTTAAATTTTTTTCTTTTTTTTCGTGAAAAAATTATGCACGCCTATTTTTCTTATTCGTGTGTGCTTTCTAAAATAGAGATACTTAAATTATCACTCTCTTCTTTTAAATTTTTTGACATTCAAATGTACTATTAATATTTGAGTGCTATATGTGAAAATATATAAGAATTGAGGGGTATGTATGTAATTATTTATATAAATAAAATGATATTATTCAAATTTTCACTTTCATAACACATAAAAATTCAAAATTCTCATTTATTACGGCAAAATTGGAGAAAAAAAAAGGGATGGCCGCAAATGGCCATGCTAATTCCCATGCATAGAGCCACAGACGACAGCTTGAGTAAGGTGACACGGCGGCGCCAGGTAGGATGCGTGAATATCCGAAAACTTAAGGGCTATTTTTGTAGTTTGATTGATATAGAGTCACGTTCCCACCATCCCATGTGCTTTCTGCGTGAACGAGCTTCCCGTTTCCACCGCCTCCACTAACGTTCGAACGTTAACTTGCCGTTATATTCCGTCTGCCACGTCATTTTCCCGTAGCTCCCCACGGCACTTTTACGTTGAAAATTAATAGAGGAAAGTCTCCTACTCTTTACTCTCCAGTCCTCTCTCTCTCTCTCTCTCTCCTCCCTCTAGTCTCTTTCTTCCTCCTTTCTGCAAAACTCAGTGAAAATATCGCATTAGTCCGATAAATTTGAGGATTTAGGGCAGAACACTGGAGAGTGCTGCTCCTTAATCATAAAAATTTACTTGTTTGATCTATTCGTCATCGGCTCTGTGAAGCACTTAACTGTCGTAATTTTCAGGGGTAAACTTCCCTCTGGATTTGCTTTTTACGCACGCAAAGAATCTCATTTTCCCTGTATTTGTTTTCCCAAAGTACAGAAAGTGAATTTTTTGATGGTGCATTGCGCTTTCTTGTCCGGGAATCTTCCTGTGATTGTTTAATTTCCTCTTACTTCGAGCCGGGTTGCAGATTTTGTGTTAGGGTTTCTGTTCGAGGTTTATGATCGGAATTCAAGGTGGCCGTGATGTTTGCTGAAGAACACGAACCCCACGCACTTCGATGGGTCCGCGAGGTTATTGTCTGCTTCTCTTCTATCCGTTTGTTTTATTTTATTTTTTTCTCTTTTATTGATGAGTTACTTGAAAGAAACGATGACAACTATTTTGTTTTTATGAATCTAACGAGCAGCAGAGGGTTGATCCCCTTCATGGTATTCGAAATGTCTGTCGGGGGCTTGGAATTCCTCCGCCGGAAAAGTTCCGCAGTGGCCATCTGCCTCGCACTGCGGTGCCTCTATCGCGCACGATGCCAGTGGATGATTGCAGTGAATTGGGATCGGATATGGACGTTTCATCTGACATTGAAGAAGAAATCTTTGTTGGCACCTATTCGCCTGATTCTTCTCCACCTCGAAATGGTATTAGTCGTGGGGGGATTCCTAATGGAAGCTCCGGAATTTCTCGTCAGCATCATTTCTATAGTGATGGTTATTCGGACTTAAGCTCATCCGTCGAGCCTCTGCGGCAACCGGCGAGGCAGCAGTGGAAGAAGGGGAGCATGAGTGGCTACACGGAGGAGGAAGAAGAGGGAAGCTCGGGCTTTAATGGGCTGATGGGAAGAGGGGGATTTACCAGTTTTAGCGAGAACGGAAGAGAAAGGTACGCTGGAGAGAACCACACGAGTACAGGTCATTTTCGAAACAAAAAAGCAGTTTCTGCTGCCATGGTAATTGACTTAATTCTGATTTTAACTGTTGTTATTTGAATTTTGAACTTTGTAATTTTTCCTCTGTATCAATCTTCCGGCCCAATGATGATTTGAAGAACATCGTGCGGGCAAAAAATATATTTGAACAGAAAATAAACTGAAATAGTTGAGGATATCTGGTGCAAAAGCAAAGCAAGTTGATTAGAAACCTTATTATTGTCTTTTCGGTTGATTTTATTTTATTTTTTTTTTTGTGATCACCATTATGCTATTTTTTTGTCTGCTGATAAATTTCCTTGGAACTTACCATTTACAAATTGTTCTTTTGTGGACTGCAAAATGCCACAATTTCAATATACTGCAGTGCACATAAATACAATATATTTATTATTCGTTTGGACCAATGAGTAATTGTTGTTTAAACAGGAAGGCAATCAAATATTTACTTATTTTACTTTGCAAAATTATATACTCATTGATGACTGCTTATTTGGTTTTTAGCTTTTGATAAAAGTTTTTTGCTTTTATTATTGCTGTAATCAAAGGAGTCAATTCTCTCGTTTTTGAATTGGAACTTGTTAAATACAGATATTTGTTTCACTGTAGTTTATCAAGTGAGTTCTTAGTGGAACAGAAAAGTTAAAGCTAAAAACACTTTTGAATGAAATAAGCCGATCTTGATTAATGTAACTGTGTCAAACAATACTATAGTTAGGATTTAGGAAAAGCACTTACTCTTTGTTTTATTCAAATCATTTTTTCGTGGCCAAATAATTAACCTTTATTCACAAAATGGTTAATTTTCACATTTATTCGTGAAATGGTTATAGAGTATACAGTCATCTTAAAACTGAAATACTGATTGATTATGTTCTTTTGGTTTACTGAATCTGGATAGGGTCGGTATAGCTTGAGAATGATTAGGTGGATGATTGGCTTTACACTTAAAACAAAATGCTAAATAAATATATCACTGATAGGGATGGTGTAGCTCTATAGGCCGACAAAATTAGATAGAGTCGTCTTAGATGTTTTGGTCACATTAAACGTCAACCATCTGATGATCCGATTTGGTGAGTAGATGTTTTAGATTTGACTCATGTTAAGAAAGAAAAAGGTTGACCTAGAAAGACTTGGGCATATTGTACAAAAAATGATCTTAATTTACTAGAATTAAATAAAAATATGATACTCAATAGGACGCAATGGAGAAAAATGATTCATGTAGTCGACCCCACAGTGGGATAAAAATTTGTTGTTATTGTTGTGGTTTACTGATTCTGGATCACCGTAACGTATTGCCTTAGGTTTGTTCTAGATTCAACTGTTTTGGACCTTTTGGTTGGATTTATCCACATTTACCTCCTCAACTTGTTTTTAGGGGCTTTTACATAATTACCACCCAATTCCTATGTATTTACATATCTAACACCTAAACTTTAATTTTGACATTAATACCACCCAAATCTTTCATATCACTATTTTAAATTTTAGAAAGTTAAAGGCATTTTTTTCATTCTTAGGTAAGGTGGCATATAGTTGAACGTTGTATTCTAGGCACCAATCTGATTGTTGTTATCTAAATTGCTCATATAGTTGGTCATAAATTCCTCAAAAACAATTTTTGCGACTGAGCATGACTTTTATTTAGTAGGAAAATCTCTCCGCTAGTTGAATGCCCTGCAAATCACAGGAGATGAAGCATTATTTTTTCTTATATTAACCATAGTAAAATTCTAAAACTGTATGTTGAATTATCAACATTTACTTGAAGCTGAGAGTTTTAATAATTAGTTTCTTAATTCAACAAAATATATTTTTTCCTTCAAGCTCCATATAAATTTAAAAAAAAGAAAGAAGGGCCGACCAATAGAAAATGGCAAAAATTCAATACTTCAAAAAAATTATGCATTTCATGATTGTCTATTATGCTCCAGGATTTGAGTTACAATTTAATATGTTAGAGAAATAAAGGTATACAGAACAGGATTTCATCATTAACGTCTAAGAAAGTGAAAAAAACTAATTCTTATCTTATATCAGTTAAAATTCAAGCTTATTAATCAAGAGTTAAATTTATATTTCCAACATTCTTTGATGACTGAGAAATATGAAAGAGCCTCAGAGTTGGTTTATAAAATTTTCAAAGTAAGGAAATAAATTTGAACTTTACACGGAATTTCCTATTTGTTTAAGTAAAAATAATGAAAAGAGTCATTTATCGAACTTAGTCATTTGGGGACACAGGCAATACATGAAAGGAGGTGTATATAAAGACATGGTCAAATTATATTTCTCCAAAGTGTATATTAGAAAAATGGTTAGTTTATATTTTCATAAAGAAAACATTTAGCAATTATACGTGAGTAAAGTATGGTGGTACCATTCTAATATTTACAAACTCGTTTGTGTGCATATATGTTAGATGATATTGCTTCGTGAGAAGTTTAATAGCTACTGTTAAACCATGCATGCAGGGGCGTTCTGCTGATGTCCCAAGTGCGCCACCTTTTTCTCGTGATGAAATCAATCAACCCGTTGACTCTGTAAGCTGCTCAATGGCATGTGATACTCCTAGCACGACGTGTTTTAATGATCATTCTTGTAAAAATGGCATTAATATACAGGCAAATTCAGGAAGCAAAAAAACCAATCAGAATATAAGGTTTTTACTGTTTTAACCATATTACAATGTATTCAGCAAATTGACGACCAAGAAAAACTGCTCATGCATTTGTTCTTCCCTCATTGTTTTGTCTCACAGCTCCAGTTCAGTTGGTATGGAGGCTTCAGCTCCATCAAAGTTTTTGCCAATGAAAGTTCCCACTTTTCATGCATGGTATGTGTTAATTTTAATGTTTGTTCATGCTTTTTACAATTTTACCAGTTTTTAGATGTTGTTTTATTAAAATACATTTGTTTTTTTTTGTGATACTTTTTCAGTGGACTAGGGCCCTGGCATTCTGTTGTTGCATATGATGCTTGTGTTCGTCTGTGCCTTCATTCATGGGCACGCGGTTGCATGGAAGCTCCAATTTTCTTGGAAAATGAATGTTCCCTTTTGCGAAATGCATTTAGGTGTGTTATATTATTCATTTTGATAACTTTCTACCTGAGTTGTGAGACATCTAAGTGGCTGTTTGGGATAAGTTTTGCCTTTTGTTTTTTATTTTTTGTTTTTATTTTGTTTTGTTTATGTTTTTATTTAAACTAAAAAATGTTGACTGAGCTAGTTATATTTAAAAACACTCAAAATATCTTTTAAGTGTTTTAAGTGCTTTTAAAAGCATTTCCATTTGTTTTTTAAAACAAAAGATAAGAAACATATAAAAATTATACTAACCAAACATATTTTTAAAAACAAAAGAAGAATAAAAACAAAAACATAAAACAAAAGTGATGCCATGTTATTCGGTGATGCCGGCTGTTGCTTTGCTGATATTCTTAAAGAATTTTTTTTATAAATGATCGTTAGCCCCAATTCAATGACATTTATTTTGGTCAATAAGTGGCTGACATTCTTTTAGTTTGGATGTCTCAATATTTCACGATTTACGATTCTTTGCTGACATCTTTAAATGCAATTACACAGAAACAAAATGCAATATTTGACAAATGGCATCAATGTCTACATACACTGATATTTGGATAACACTAAACCAAAACAAACCTTAGTTGACAATTTCTTTTCATGAAACTTATGTTTACAATAAGATGTGTGAGGATGCTGAAAATTCTGAGAAAAGAATGAGTTCAGTATGATTGTTTGCTTTTTAGGCATTTTATCTACATTTGGCCTTTTTGGGCTGGTTTTAGGAATATATTCTTTCAGTTTCACATTTTTATAGTTTTTTCTTACCCAATCACTAATCAGTTCTAGTTGTGCGTGGATGATCTTATGAAATACACAACCATCTTTTTCATTCTATTTTTTGCTTCTTCCTAATGCTTGATACTTATATCAGACTCTTTATTTACTTTTTATCTCAACGAAAAAATCCTAATTTTTAGAGTGGAGTCTTGTTTCTGGTGGATTTTTGTCTAGATCTTTTAATGTGGTAAATTGTAACTCTAAGTATGCTATTGCGACCATCAATGTTGATAGCTTCTTCTACCTTTTAGTTTGGTCAAAAGCTTGTTTGTCTTCCATTTTTTCATGGTTTTTGTTGTATAAATAGTTCTTGTATGGATGATCTAAACTGAACCACTCAACATTTTTTTTTCATCCCATATTTTTGGTACCTTCCTAATTCTTGATACTTTTAAGAATATGAAATCAGCAAATAAATCTCTTAAGAATAAAATGAATTATTAGATTTTGTCTTGGATTTTAAAAGATATAATTCATTTAACTAATTTCATTACATTTTGGATATACCCTGTATTTTAAATTATGATTTACCTTCGCATGCATTTTACAATGGTAATATCTATTTTATCAATTAATCAAGTAACATTAGCTTTAATTTTTTTTTTAACAAAAACAAATATTGATTTTTTCAACCAAAAGAGATTCAGTCCTCACAGCACTTCAAACAGTCATTTTTTTTGAAAACTATCCGCTGCACAACATAAAACAACGGAACATTGGCAAATGCTGTTGTTGACTGTAAAGTAAGAGAGAGAGATAGAAGAGAAAAATAAATAAATAAAATTAATTAATTCATTAAATTTTGACTTACCTGCTCTGGCCAAATTTACTTGTTTGGGTACAAATAATGCTCCTGCTTATGCTTAGTTACAAAGGGGCGCACACACTCTTCCCTGTTCTTCCCCTCGCTCACTTGGAAAGAACAAAATGTAAGTCCCCACTCCCTGCAACCACACAAAGCCACTGAAACCCCTCTCCCGCATGTAAAACCGCACTGCCCGCCCCTCTCTAGACTCTGTCCCACATGCAAGGTTACACCGTCCGCCTCTTTCCAGCCTTAGAAGCCCTCACTGCAACTACAGATCCTTCCTTGTGTTCCTTTCTACACGTCTACCTCCCTTCCAAGCCTTCACCCCCGTAAGTCACAACATAAGCCTCTACCATTCCCTCTGTTTCATTATTTCTTTGTTTGCATATAGAAAATTCGAAATCCAAATCATTCCTGTTCATCTTGTTTGCACAACTCCCCAAGTCCGCCAACCTTCGTGATATAGTTGCAACCATAACAAGTTGGGAAAGCAATGCATGCTTGCAATGTACGAAGACCTCTTAACTTCACTCTTTCTCTTGATTTTCAACGGAAGCTACACTCTAGTCCTCCCTTCCTTCCCTTTCAAGCCGCAACTCCCATCTTTCTATTCCTGCATCCGAAACCCCGCCACCGAACCTATCCCTGCTTCGTCTCCCGTTTCGTAAGCCTCAACCCTCACGATGCAATTCTGTATCTAGGGCTAGCCAGGAAATCAACAATGGGATCGCGATGCACAGGAGCTCCCAAATTTCCAATTCCTCCGTCATCACTCCCTACCTTGCCTCACACATACTCCATCCTGCTGCCTTCCTTGCTTCCAAGCAGCTTATCCCCTATGCAATCCTTTCTACACTAAATCAAGGCCATAGGCCCTTTCCCCTTTATTTCGTTTGAGTCCAATCACCCAAACTCGAACCGAGTTGCCCCTTCTGCCCTAACCTGAAACTGAGGCTGCTCAATCCTTGCCCTGATCCTTTTCTCACTCTCTGTTGGTAGCAAAATTGAACCCTAACACTTATAGTCACTTATCTGAGACACAATCAACTAAACCAAACATTTCTTTCTTATTTGTGCTTTATCTTGTGTATTGTATAAAGAAAATCTGTCTTGTACTTTTATTTTAGAGGTTTTTACATACTGGGGTCCCTAAACACCCTATTTTACATATCAAGACTCCCAAACAGTAATATTACGCGTAGAGGATACTGTTACGACGGCGTAGGTCTAGTGCTCGGGGTTGCCGGAAACATGATTCTTTTGCCGTGACTTCTGAGGCGAATCAACTCGCCCACTTTTTATCCAACTTGGAATCCCTCTTTCTTGAAGACCCTCTTCTCGAATCCTGCCTTCATGATCTCGATTTTCTCCTTTACTTTTCCTTCTCCTCCGCCAAGTCCAACGGCTTCTGTGAAGATGCTGCCTTCCCCCTCTGGTCACATCTTGACGCTGTTGGTCTGTCGCACTCTTCTCTTCTTCGGCCCTCGGCACTGCCATAGACCTCCCTTATCCTCACACGTCCTTTCTCGCTGTCCATGTCTACATCTCTCCACGATCTCTGTGGCCACTGCTCTCAACACTGTCGTAGCAGTGTCCTCTACGCGTAATATTATTGTTTCGAAGCGGTGGTATGTAAAATGAGGGATTTAGAAAAAAAACCCTTTATTTTAGTGTTCGTCGTCTTGCCGCTTACCACTGATCTTCATCGCTGATCTTGCTCGAAATTGTATAAAAATGGGGCAACAGGACAATTTTTTTAAAATATCTATTTAAGGAAGCGTGAATGTCCGTCCTTAGGAATTAAATACCATTCGAGGAAATTGCAAACTCGTTTGGAAATTTTTTTTAAATTAGTGGTTTTTAAGCAACCTTCTTGGGAAACATGAGTACCCATCCTTGAGAATTAAGTGTCGTTCAGAAAAGGTAAAGCACAATTTAGGGAAATGCTTGCCTTCGATTTGATGCTTTTTGCTAGTACACGAAGGTCTATTGCATCTTTTAAAACCACATATTGAATACATATTTTTGCTCACTGGTTGTAGTGTCTCACAATACTGACCACTGAGTCTTTTAAGATAGTTGAAAACACTGACATCTCCTTATACCTTTTAATAATTGTTGACGTCAGGAGACTGCCAAATTTTCGGGTGATTTGAATTTATAAATAACTTAGAACCTTGGACTTTCAGATTTATAAAATAATTTTAAAATATAGATCATTTGAATTTTAAAATATTTGAAAATTTGGGGCTTGAAAATACAGGCAATTAGATTTTTAAAACGATGTCAAAATTTGGGGTTTTAAAATTGAAGCTCTTTGGGTTTTAAAAAATAATTTAAAATTTTGTTCTTTCAAACTTGAAATCCCAGGGTTTAAAAGCAAAATCAATGAGAAATTTTGAACTTAGGTTTTAATGGTTGAAATTTAACCCAAAATTAAGATTTTCAAAATTTTGAGCATTGGGTTTAAAATTAATTCCAAAATTGGGCTTTTCAAATTTAAACACTTAGATTTGAGTCATATGAATTTATTAATATTAACCCAAATGTTAAATATTTGTGGTTTAAAAAATAATTTAATACATTTGGGGCTTAGCTTAATCTAAGATTTGAATATCAAAATTCAATAGGCTAAGCTTAAATTGACATTGAAATGCCTTGACTTAAAACACGTTCGTCACCGGATTCACAATTCTAACTTGTAAGTGAATAGAAAATGGTTTTCAGAAGATTAAACTGAACATTTATATGTTTCAATGTATATATTTAAATGAGGCAAATTTATGTAACTTCAATTTTTACAAATATCATTTAAAACAATCTTAGATTTAACTTAAGATATATGATGCTCCAGTTATAATAGCTCAAATACATGAAATTCAAAACCCGCATGTGCTACATAGAAATAAACAAATTTTTTTAAATTGAACGGCCTGAGAATGCCACACTGATTAAATAAAGTATTTTGACGCAAGTCGCTCCTATTTTTGAAAAGTTTCAAAATTTCATTTCAAAGTGTCTAACCTATTTTAAAAATTATAAAATCTCTATGTTTAAATCAACTCAAAATAATTAAGTTATGTAAGCTCACAATCGAGTTGTATTGTTTATAGGACAGGGTTGAAAGTCCAACTCTATTAGTTTGATACTACTCCTTGTAAGGATTGCATTTGACGGGTTTAATAAATTTAATAATAAATGTCCAAATCATAAGATAAGAATTTATAAGTTTAAATCTCGTAGTATAGTCTTTGTTAGAACCGGAGTCGACAGGAATAATTTCTTAAAAAAACATCAAAATTGATGAATTCAAAATAAACTTTCTTCGATGATGGTACTGTTGATTAAAAATTTCAACCGGAAAGATTAATTTTGAATCATCATTCAATTTTAGTTTTTTTAAACTAATACTCTAAGTTAAAATTTATCATATAAAAGTTTAAAGCAAATCACATTCATCCTTCACAATAGTTTATCGATGGTGACAAACTTCTAATTGACTTCAACTCATAAAAAGTGAATATCATATCAAATGTATCCCTATATTCATAATAAAAAAAATTGCACGCCAGTAAAAACTTAGCCTAAGTCCTCTGTTCGTGTGATTTTGTTGCCAAATGATTCTAAAAAGTAGCGGTCATGACCAGAGCCCTTTGATTAGGTGGTTTATATTACGGTCATGGTCGCATCTCGTGTGTTTAACAACGAATTTCTACAATTTTACTTATAAACCGTAAGGGTACAATTGATTGACAAAAAATTTTATGTCGGCTAAAGTAGGCTTAAATTTGTCTCTTTAGACAAACATTCAACCCAAATCTATAAGGTTCATTTTGATGACGCAACCCATGGTTGTTGATGAGGATTCTTCAGTCGGGTTGAGTCGACTTTCTCTTATGAGAAGTAGATCAGAGACAACGATGACTCCGAACGACGAGACCAGAGTGATAGATTTTACAATTTAAATTGTATGTCTGCTGCTACTATTTGTTAAATATTGAATTATATATGAGCAGTATTAATTGAAATCTCTCCTGTTATTAGGAGAAATAATTAACTATAGGGGCGTGGGTCTATGGGAAGCCTCATATCCCAGATCAAAAAGTCAACGCAAAACGAGGGCAAAATCTTTGGGTAGTGTCTTATCTACTATTCCATCCGACTCCTGAAAATTTGACCCACAAAACTCTTTCAACAAAATAAAAAATAAGCAAAGTTAGTGGAGCGTCGGAATTTTCCGTCGGAATTTTCCCACAGTTGCCTTAGTCTGAAGCTTTGAATCAATACAAAAGAAATAAGAAATATAAGGGAAGTGGCAACCAAGTAGTTTTTTCTCCAAGTAAAATTTTGTCCCGGCTAACACTTCTCATTGATTAGGTGATGGATGGTAGCAATGAAGGACATAGGTTGGCTTAAGTAAAATTTTGAACAACACAGCACCATATATATTTTATTTGTGACGGATCCCTGCTTGTTTCACAGCTAATTTTTTTCTCTTCCCAAAATTACGTAGTCTGCAGTACGTATTGTTACAATCAGAGGAGGAACTCCTTCAAAAACGTTCTTCAGAACACCTTGATGGAGCTGCAGTCAAACCAAAGAAAGTTATTGGGAAGATGAAAGTTCAAGGTATGTACTTGTTTTCTAATTTCACAATTTGAGATTTTCAAAAGCTTTGCAGATTATTGATTTCCCATACCTTACTTATTCATGTTTATTGTTTGATAATCTTCATCAAAATTTTATCTTGAATAATTTTTATTTCTTACACCTTTGTTCTACATGCTGACCTTCGTTTTTATGTGGAAGCCCGTAAGGTTAGAATGACTCTCGATAGACCTTCCGGCTGCAATTATATATCGTTGAGGAGTCAAACGGTGAAGCTGGAATCATTTCGTTATCGCATGTTGAACTTTCAGTCAACTTTATCGTCGGGATGGGAGTCCCTTCGAAAAGTTCGAGTTTTACCTCGTTTAGCTGCTGGTAGCTCTTTTTCCAAGCACAGTCTGGCCTATATGCAAGCTAGCACTCAATACATAAAGCAGGTTTCTGCTATCCTAAAAACTGGGGTGAGCTCTCTCCGCAGTGCTCCTGCCTTTGAAGCTGTAACAGGTACATAATTATTTTCTGCAATTTTATTTTTGGTTTTTTTGCATGATTATACCGAATCTTTTCCTCTTTTTTTTTTTTTTTTGCAGAATCATATTCTTGTTTTTTGAAACTGAAAAGCTTAGCTGAAGAGGACAGGGTTAGAATGCAAGTTGGTTCTGGTGAAACACATGTTTTGTATGTATAATTTTTGGGGTATCTTACAGGTTTTAATATTCTAATTGAATAGACTAATATTTTAGATTGTTTTCAGCTTCCCTGACAGTATGGGGGATGATCTCATTGTTGAAGTTCATGATTCTAAAGGGAAGTATCTTGGACGGGTTGTTGTTCAACTGGCAATCATTGCAGAGGATGTGGTATGAAGCTGGTATTTTTTTCACTGTTTCTGAATTTTATACTTGCTTATTACAGTTATAACCTTTAATTCCTTAGAGCAATAAAGTTCGGTGGTGGTCAATTTTTAAAGAACCGGAACATGAACTTGTTGGACACATACAACTTTATGTAAATTACTCAACCACTACAGATGAAAATAGTTCTCTGAAGGTATATGCTTATCATAAAAGTCACTTGTTCCAACAAAATTGGATCTTTTGTGAACACACCTTCAGGCTTCATACTGATAGTGTAATTAACACATCTATGTAAAATCTTTCGGATTTGCAGTGTGGATCTGTTGCGGAAACCGTGGCATATGACATCGTTTTGGAAGTTTCAATGAAAGTGCAACGTTTTCAGCAACGCAATCTACTTTTGCATGGACCGTGGAAATGGTTACTTACGGAATTTGCTTCTTACTATGGTGTTTCAGACGCATACACGAGATTAAGGTATTTTACAAGTTTTCAATGTTATTCTTCTTTCTAATCTTTACTATTTATAGTATTAACCTTTGTAGTTTCTAAAATGTCTGCAAGATATCTGTCATACATCATGGATGTAGCGACTCCTACGGCAGACTGCCTATCATTGGTTCATGATCTTCTTGCACCTGTACTTTTGAAGAATGGTGGTACCAAAGCTTTGAGTCATCAAGAGGTACTTACCAACGCAAACGATAAACATTTTTTTTTTCATCTCTGCTTTTTTGCCCAATTCTTCTTGAGAGTTCTATTTTGAACTGTCTAATCTGATGATATTACAAAAAAGCGTGACAATTCTTAATGAAAATCTTGCTATATCTTATGATTTATTCTTTTTTTTCTAAATTCTACATGCTTTCTCATGAAAAGATTTTCCTTTGTTCTGTTTGATTCTTTAATGGATATTGCCAAAGCTTTTTTCTGTTGTTATGGGATTAAACAGAACCGTATTCTTGGAGAAGTTGAGGAGCAAATTGAGGTAATTTTGGCAATGGTTTTTGAAAATTACAAGTCACTGGATGAGTCGTCTCCTTCTGGAATAGTGGAAGTTTTCCGGCCTTCTGCTGGTATACCAGCTGCAGCTTTGGTGCCTGCTGTAAATCTATACAAGCTTTTACATGATATATTATCGCCAGAGGCACAATTAAAGCTATCCAGCTATTTTCAGGTGACGTATTTCACGACAAGAATCTATTTATTGGGTCCTTCTGTAATTGGAATATTTTGCAAGACGGTACTATTTATGCAGGTTGCTGCCAAGAAGCGATCAAGGAGGCAACTATCTGAAACTGATGAATTTATTGGAAGCAGTACTGCAGGCACTAGCGGTGGAACTACCACTGAAGCTCTCACTCTAACTACTGCCTATGAAAAGATGAAAAATGTATGCTTAAATGTAAGGAATGAAATATTTACAGATATTGAGATCCATGACCAACATGTGCTTCCTAGGTTGGTATTTTTCTAACTTCCTCAAACTCCAACAATTTGTTCTATAATTTTCTTTTTTCTTTTTGGACCCTTTTATATACATTCATAATTGTAATGACTAGATTTTATCACTCTTTTGCAGTTTGACCATTTTATATATTTTAATACAGAATCAACAACCTCTTGCTGTTTTTCTTTTGCACAAAAGATTAACAGCTTTCAAGGCCAATTTATGAAAATCTTAGATTGTGATTCTAAGTGCCTATACTATCCTAAAAATGTTGTAGCTCTTTATGGATGGAAAGTAAGATAAGTGCCAAAATAGTCCCACTTCTTTTTTCAAGCAGTCATTTTTAGTCCCAAAATCTATAAAAATATTAACTTGATTCTCAGAATCTTTTAATATGGGCTGAAATAGTCCCAATAGAGGATTATTTGAACCCCAATTTTAGGAAAAAATATTACATCCGGACTCCAGATGTGCGTACAACAAACTGGATGCAGCGAGGAGGGCGGAGGTTAGATTCCTCCCCTCCTCGGCTGCATCTGGACCGTTGTCCGCACATCCGGAGTCGGATGTAATATTTTTTTCCAATTTAAGGGGTCCGAGATTAAGTTGACACTTCATAAAATTTGGGATTAAAATGATCCCGTGTAAATAATTAAGGGACTATTCTGACACTTTACTCCATGGAAAAATATTATAAGCATTTTATCTCTTCTAATTTGTTTGAGTACCCAACATCAATTATTATGTTTAGATTTTAAGATGAAGAGTTAGAAGATGAAAAATACAATGAAATATTATAATGGAATTGAATGGATGCACTTAAAAGACATAAATCAAATTATTTTTATAAGCAAATTTTAAAATCTGAAGATTTGAGAGGTTCATAAAGAAACTAGTACTATGTGAAATAAAGTGATACCAAAACTAATCAAACCAGTGGTAACAGAAGCAACTTTTATTAAGCAAATGATTAGGGTTACAAACACTACTCAAAACTGAAATTAAATAGTAACAAACATTAATCTCTGACTAGGGCGTAAGAGAAGACCAGAGTCGGTGGGGTGGTTGGGAGTAGTAGTGGTAGGGGAAATGGCTGACGATAATCTCAGAAAAGGAAAAGGAGGCGGCGACAATAGCTGAGGGTTTTAGGGAAGCGCCACGACAGTGGGGAAAAGTGGTAGGAGGGCTGGAGGCACTTCAGGGTGTAGGTTGGGCAGCTGAAAAGTTGGGGTAGCAGGCGTGCGATAGGGAAAGGGATGACAAGGGTAAACAATGGATTGCAGGGGTAGGCCAACGTGTAAAGGAGATATGGGAAGAGAGGAGGGAGGAATTCAGAAAGTATACAACACCTCGCAGCAGGATACAGTCGGAGCACCACCCATCGTTGCAACCCTAGCAAGGGGAAAAAGACTTCATGTAAAAATCTGAAAGAGAAACTCACAAAAAAAAAAACCCCTAATTCCAACAAGCATATAATCAAACCCCATCAAGCGGGAAATAAAAAAGAAAAGGGGCCAGGCGGGGAACACAAAAATAAAGGGGAGGACGGCTATGTTCGCCCCTTCTAAATGCCGCTTGGTTCCGTAGGGACCTGGAACGGTCCCCCTCTAATCGGTTCGTATGCTCATTCTGCCAGTTGGGTTCAATTAGTTGGCCCCCAGCCTTGCTTCGGTCTCTCGGGATTGGGGAAGCTTTGACTTCATTCTTCAAAGCTTTTGGTTCTATCTTTAATTTTAATAACACTTGAATCCCATTGCCTGTTGCATTATGTCCCAAAAAATCGAAAGAACTTTCTCCACCGTTGAGCACGCATTAATATCGATCCGCTTTCTTGTGGTCCCACTACCGAACTGAATCGAGCCTGTGTATATCGCCCATACTGTTGAATACTATTGAAGTAATCCACGATATGCTCAACCCAATTTGAAGTGAGAGTAGCTTTACTCTCTCTGCTCGGTGGTGGCCATGGTGGTGAGATGTCGACCGTGATATCCATAAATGCTCTCTATCATGTCTATCCTGTATTTGGTGCTGGTTTCTCAATTCCATCTTCCCTCGTTGACACCAAAACTGGTCCCACCGTACGGCTCTGCTGGCAAGGGCTCTTGTGATCTTGGACTTCGTCGAAGGAAGTAGGATGACGCACATCCCATCCTTGGTGAAGGAATATGTTTTCCTGAATCCGTCGTGTTGAGTTCTCCAATCAAACTGTCACAACCTCTCTAAAAAAAGTGAGGCATCGATAGGGACCACAACACACTACACTTGATTATATAGCTAGCTTCCGATCGAAAATTTCACTAGACACCTTTGGTCTATGCTGACTTTGTTCTCCTTCAACCACGTTATGAACTATGACTTGGAGTGCTTTTGATTCATGAGACCCAACTTTTCTAGCATTTGCATAGATGCCACATTCTTACTATTCTTTTCATCGATGATGAGACTACATACTTTTCTGTTCACCGTGCAGTGGGTGTATAATATGTTGTAGCGAAATCATTGCATCTCTCTCATATGCTCAGCCTGTAGGATCCGTCGAACCACAAGTGCTACTCCTTTGTCTACTGGCAGATTGGTATACTTCCTCAGCTTTTCATTGCTAACCTCGACGGCGCACTGCTTGGTAAAAGACAAGACTCAACTCGTCAGGCAGCTGGAGACAATGTGCCCAAATCTGTGACGTTTAAAAAGTTTTCGAATGGGGACTGTAGAAGGCGTGTTCTTCACAGGCTTTTTCTCACTGGGGATGGCTTATCCTTATCTGAGCTAATTTTCTTAGCTCCTTGAGGTGTGCTCTTGTTGGTGTTTCCAACTGTGGGTGGCTGCCTGATTGATGGTGGTTGCCTGATTAGTTGTGGCCGCCTGCTTTGTTTTTCCTATCTTTCCACTTTCAGTGCGAAGGTCTGAATGTCCCCAAGTGACCAATAAGGTTGCAATTTTATCATATTACTAATTGTGTGCTTCAGGCCCCCAAGATGCGCTCCTCCGACTTGTTCAGCTCGCATTTCATCTATAAGTGGTTGAACTGGGCTGTGAACTTCTCCACAGAAAGGTCTTGCTGCTGTAGATTGTGGAGCTTCAGAAACATGTCCTGACGGTAATGAAGTGGAAGATATTTCTTTTGCATGACTTTCTTCATCTGCTCCTACTTGATAATCTTATCAATATATTCTTTTTTTCTTCTGTCTCTGTAAGTTCTTCCACCACAAGGAGGTACTCTTCTTCAACTTAATGCAGCTAATTTGACTTGCTTATCCTCTAACACATCTTTATACTCGAAGATCCATTCAATAGCTTCAAACCAACCAAAAAATTCATTTGGATTCTGTTGGCACTAAAGAGTCGTGGGGTGTTGCCCGTAAGAAGCTGTCGGTCACCGGAATTGAAATTTCATTCCCCGCTCGGAAGGACGTTTAATTTACACACACACACACACACACACACACACACACACACACACACACACACACACACACACACACACACACACACACACACACACACACACACACACACACATATATATATATATATATATATATAATTTTAAAAAATATGAAATCAAATTGACCTCATATTTTTCACAGTTTAAATGAAAGAGCGCTCTACCTCAAATCTTATATCTATCCCGAGGGATAAACACAAGACTTGAGGATAAGATTCAATCAAATAAACTAGGAAAACATATGCATCCGTTTGGGTCTGCGAAACCGTTTTATTTGCCGACAAGTTTCCCTATTTAATACTAATGATTAAATAGGGTTTATTTTAAGCTGGGTTCGGAAAAGCTTCCTATAAGGGCAAACCCCTATAGTTAATTACATCTTAAATGACCGAAGTCACCTAAGAAAACTCTCGATAAAAATCAGGGAATACTATCTTCAAAGAAGTCAAAAGGATAAGACTTTTCAACGAAATCGGACGAAGAGGTGTGAAAGGGGAAATGCTCGAACCTGGAACAATGTTGAGAAATCCAAATGAAGAGAAACTAGGGGAGGCCACAGATCCAAAGGAGAACCTCAGTGACTTCCCAGTCTATCCTATGATTTGGCTCCAGTTTTGAGAAGAAATTATTAAAGTATTTAATTCTGTCAATTTTATTTAATTAGGGCTTATATTTGCGTGACATAGTCACACAAATCGCCTGGAAGATATGAGGGTTTACGTCGTATCGGACGACAACCTCGGAACCTAGAACGAGTTAAGACTTAAATCGTCCAGCAGAGCTATACAAATGCCTAAAGAAGGAAGATTTATGTTGCGCTAAGCAAACAACCTCGAAATCCTATGAATCGTTGTTTAATTTCTAAGAAAGAAATGATTTTGCTGTTGAAGATGGTCGTGCTGCCCACCGCGCTAGCTCCAAGCTCCTTGCCATGACGAGTTTAAGTTTTCTAGAGTGTCCAGTTATAGTGTCAAATCAAACGACCCTATGGTTGTAGTCCTCTAAACATCCTATATAAAAAGGAAACGTGCTTAAAGCTATATAATATAAAATGTGCAGTACAGGGCAAACAATAGGATGCATATGAAACAATAGCAAGTAGCAATATGAGTAGTATAACATGCTATACAGTACGGTGGCAGGTAGCAACGAGAATAATATAACATGCTGTACAGTACAGTAGCAGGTAGAAACAGAAATGACATAATCATGCTGTATAGGAAGAGCAGTAGCATGTAGAAAATTGGAATAATATGACATGCTTATACAGTACAGTAGCAGGTAGAAACAGAAAAATAAAGTACTGAAAAATGTAAACCAAACCTGTACGCCCGTAAGATCCGATGTTCCTTAAGTATAGTGCCCTGTCCCAAAGCTTCGATAAAACAAAAAAAAAGTTTGGGTGAGGGGGACCGCAAGCAATCGTATGGGGCTAGGCTCGAATATATATTTATACTCGAGGGTCCGCGAAGGCTACTCGGTCACCCGAATGTATAGAACCCGCCACTCGTCTAGAAGTGTCTTGAACCTCACTTAGAGGGCTATTTCTCAACCTAAACAGGTATTCGTCAGGTGGACAACCAATTTTAAAATACGTTTTATGTTTTAAACATGCACACATATTTTAAACATGCAAAGAAGAGTTATCAATTTTTGTTTCGTAGAAAAGTATGTTTTTGTTTGAAAATGCTTTATCAAAACTTATCTTTTTTTTAATAAATTTTTGTTGTCCACGAGTCGATTACGCTGTCAGACATAGGACTGCCAACAACCTGAGGAGGTTGGAGCTGACTACCGCGAGCTGACTACCGCTAAACTTATGTCGGTGAAGGATAACGTTATCCTATTTTTCATCAAATACCTGGATCTTGATGTTATAGGATAGGAAAACTTTCTTCCCTATTTTTCTTTCTGCTCTATTTTCGGTGTGCCTTTATCATCACCACCGTAAGCCCCAAAAAGACTACTTGCCACCTTCCTTGATGGTTTCACGTATGGTAAAAGGCTATACGTGGACACTTATGCATCGGGCATAAGCATCGAAAAACCGAACCAAGAAGCAAGGAAAGAAAAGAACAAAAAAGGGGTGAGAGAGAAGAGACACTGATCCATCTAAAACACAAAAAAGGAGAATAGATCAGTCCTCAAAGCTCGTGTCGAAAAGACCTGGAAAAGTAAGGCCCAAGGTCTTTCCTAACAAACATAAAGGGCAAACTCGCGTTAATTTTCTTAGACCCCAAAGACGTAGGATTAATCAAATCAATCAAATGCTCTCCCAAATAAAACTTGCAAATCTTCCCAAAATCTCAAAGTTGATATCAAAATCTTCCGACTTCCGAATTAATCCATAAACTCACATATCAAATAAGCATAAAAATCTTCCCACAAAATCGAATAAATGCTCACGATCGGGATCACTACAAAGAGATGAACAACTGGTAAGACTCACGACCAAGGCAAACCCGAGACACAAAAGGGGAGGAAGCTCACGGCCGGGGCAAACCCAATGAACAACAAGTGAGGCTCACGGCCGGGGCAAACCGAAATCAATTCTCTACAAGTTTTGATATACATAGGAGAGTACAAAACATCACCAATCTCTCAAAGTAACAAGTTTGATCCATCCACCAACATTCAAGTGATTTAAACTCAACAAGAGGGGGGAATTAAACTCAAGAAACTCCAATGGGTCTCACGGGTAGGGATAGGAACCAAAGCCAGCCAACCACCTCCAAACCACCTCTCGAGTAAGGGCCAGGCAAAGCAAACACGACCCCCCAACTAGAGCCAAACCGAGTCCAGCAGAGGCCAAACAAAGCAAACACAGCCCCCAACTAGAGCCAAACCGAGTCCAGCAGAGGCCAAACACGAGAGCTCTTAAAGCTAGAAAAAGAGCTTTAACACCTCAATAAAAGTCAAGACTCAAGTCTCCAGAAAAATCAACATCCCGTACTCCTGAAATGAAAACCGAGCACCAACAAAAGCCCAAAGCCGAGCCATTCAAGGCCCAAAACCGAGCCCAACAATATTAAAATCCAGACTCCCATGAAACATTAAAGATCCAACCATTTCAAACCCAAAACCGTGACTCTAAATCCAGCCAAAACCGAGCCCAATAGGGACAAAAAAAACCGAGCCCTACAACATTAAAGATCTTACCATTTCAAGCCCAAAACCGAGACTCCAAATCAAGCCAAAACCGAGCCCAGCAACATTAAAGCTCTAGCCATTTCAAGCCTAAGGAACAACCTGCATGTCTAAACATTCCAAACATAAAATTATTCCAACAAATATTTGAACAGGGGAGGAACTTCACGAGGAGCTAAACCAAGCCCTCAGAATAAGCTACAACACTTTCCAAATTAAATGGATTTTCTCATAGCATGCATTTTAAGCCAGGGAAAGTCACAGGGAGCCAAAACCGAGCCCCCAAACATGCATAAAACAGTAAAATGCACTCCCTATCATTCATGAAAGGCCAAATAACCTCTCCAATATTTCATGCTAAATGAAAGTAATTGAAAAGCTTCTTAGTACATATCCCAACATGCTTGCAAGAGGAGCTAAAATTATTTCAAGTCACGTTTCAACCCTCCTGTTCAAAGTAATAGGAATATGCTACGATTTCATCTCAAGCTAATAGGAGAAAACAAGAATACTTAGATCATGTTATGCTTGCATCGTCCTAAGCAATTAATCGAATATCACCCTTGAAACATGCTCACATTTCATCTTTCACATGCTTTTAAAGTGAATGCCTCAAAATATATGAAAGTAAAGAGAACTAACATGTTGTATCATCCAGCAGAGCCAAGCTCAAAGACTCGGCAGAGAGAAAACCGAGAGGAAGGCAGATGAAACAGGGCACCAAAAAAAAAAAAGGAAAGAAGAGGTACCTCCTTAATGCCAAAGTAAAGCACTGCAACACCAGAATTCACCTCAAGGAAAAGCTCTCACAAAGCTCTCACAGAAATCCCCAGAAATCCCCTTTCCAATCTCCTCACAGCTAAAACTTCTACTCTTCTTTTTTTTTGTAAAATTTCAACAACCCCAAAATTCTAAAAGAAACTATGTTTATAGGCAGAGAAGAGTGGAGAAGAGAAATGAGATCACACCATCGACCCACGACACTCGAATCGGGCCAAAGAAAAAAAAGACGCGCTCCCTGCTCACAGAAGGCGAAGCCAACGAAGTCTCTCGGACCGAGCGGCGAGACCAATGGCAGCGAGGGAAGTATCGAGAAGAGGAGAAGAAATGCCACTCTAGTGTACCAGGGAACAAGTTTCCCAGAGTCAAGATGCCGAGAGAAGAAAATCCACTGCTCGAGGGACTGGCGCGGCCTCGGGAAGGAAGGCCGCGGGCAGAAAGTGTCGTGCAAGGACGAATGAGAAATCAACTTTCTCTCGCGTGGAGGAGGAGGAGCTCGGTTGACTCGAGACCGAGAAAGGGAAAGGCCAGACATGCGAACGAGAGAGTGAAGGGAGGCAGAGCTTGGGTGCGTGCGTTTAAGAATTTAGTGTTTAAAGAGGAAAGGGGGAATTGATTTTATATAAATTAATATATATATATATATATACATATATATATAAGTATATATATATATATATATATATATTAAATTATATGCGATTTATTCACGCGCGGCGTCGTAACAAAATGGGTGTCTTCCCTGGGCAAAATCGACGCTCCGGACGTGCCGGTGCAGTACATTTTGTCATCCGGGGTCGCTCGGACGACGTTGTCAACAATCGTGTAAAAAATGTGTCAAAATTTAAATTCCACAAAATTTCAACCCTCGATCGATCGTCTCAAAAAGTTTATTCGAGTTTTCGACAGGTAACAGTGCAAGCAATGTGAGTTGTGGCGATCAGACGTGTCGACTTTCCGAACTGCGAAGTTTTGTGCACGCGCAAGTGCAAGGCCACCCTAAGGCTCAGAAAGGTCCTATAGGAATCCATTTTGGGTTTCCTCATGTTGGCTTCATCCTTCTAAGTGCTAGAAGTTGATACCACACACGCGAAACTCCAAAAGGGAACAAAAGTTGGTCGAACTTCTAAAATGAGGCGGGTCCCATTTCTAAGGTTCTAAGATAGTCTAAGGGAGATCCCTAAGGCTAGATCCTAAATCCTAAGAGAAAGACTACACCTCACTAAAAAATAGGTCAACAGATTCATACCTCCGTCAAACTCCAGTAGATCCACATTGATTCTGTAGTCACTGTGTCCTCCAACTGATGTTTCCTCTCTAGGCCTCCTTTGATACTGGATTTCGAAACGCCGAGACCTTTCATCTTGATCACTGACATCCTCTCTGTGGAAGTGGTTGAAATTTTCGTCCCTTATCTTCGGCCTTCCCTGTCCCCATCGAGTGTACGTCCCTCTGGGGTGTCATCCTTATTGTTTGCCAATCTCTGCTAAAGTCAGCGGACCTCTCGTTGTTTCTCTTTTTGGGCAGGCTCGGGCAGGAAGTATCTCCTTGGTTGCATGATTAAGCTTTGATATTTGTGGAAGTCGAAAGAGTATTTGGTGGTAGGAATAATTTTTATTTTTTTTATTTATGGGTGGATGCTAGGAAACCCTAGGATAGGACTAGGGTTATGCTAGCGTTGATACTAAATGATATCGAAACTAATCAAACCGGCTGTAACAAAGACAATTTTTATTAAGTAAATGATTAGGTTTACAAGCATGACTCAAAATTGAAATCAAATAGCAACAAACATCAATCCACGACTAGGGTCGGAAGAGATGATTCAAGGGTAGTGATGATGTTGGTGGGGTGTTTGGGAGTAGTATTGGTAGGGGAAAGGGCTGACAGTAATTCTAGGGAAGGAGAAAGAGGTGGCTGCAATAATTGGGGCTGCAGGGTATGGTCACGCAGTGGGGGGAAGGTGGTAGGAGGGCTGGAGATACTTCAAGAAGGTTTTATGGAGGGCGGCAGAGTGTAGGTATGGTAGCTGTAGGTGGGACAACAGACGTGCAATTGGGAAATGGGCTGCAAGGTTAAACAATTGATTGCAGAAGTAGGCTGATGCGTAAATGAAATAGGGAAGAGAGTAGGGAGGAATTCAGAGAGGATACAACACCACCTTAAAGCAAGATAGACTTAGAGCGCCACCTGTTGTCGGATACAACTTTAGCAAGGGGAAAATGACTTCATGCAAAAATATGAAAGAGAAACACACCAAATTATAACTCAAATTCCAGCAACAAGCATATAAATAGACTCCCATTAGGCAGGAAATAGAAAAGGAAAGGCGGGAAGCAAAAAAGTAAAGGGGTTGGTGGCAATGCTCGTCCCTTCAAAATGCCGCTCGGTCCCTTAGGGACCTGGACTGACCCCCCTCAGACCGGTTCTTTCGATCTTTTTGTCAGGAGGTTCAGAGGGCTGGCCCCGTTTCATAACTTAGCAAATATTATAAAGCAAGTTGCAAATGATGTGTTTGGAGAATTGAGTGAAGTTCTTATGAATACAAATAGTTGGGGATGGAATGATAATGTGCAAAAAAAATATAAAAAAAATAAAAAATTTTGTTATAAAAATTAGTTTAGATCTAAAAATTTGGAGAATTGGAAAAAAATATAAGATAGTTCCTAGAGAAATTAAGAGAATAAATTGCGACGCTAAAAATTATGTAATCTTTATAATAGATAAAATATTTAAGAGGGTGAAAATATATGTACAAACTAGCTAAATAAAGAGATAAGAAAAGTAAAAAAAAATTATCTAATTGTATTAAAGATGAAAATTAAAAGCTATTTTTCTTAAATGGGGATATTCAACGTACGCGGGTTAGATGTTTTGATAAACTTTTCAATCAAGATTGTAAAAATACGATCGAGTTTAGTAATCTTAATATTGTAGATAATAATAAAGCTTTTTATTTCTACTGTTGCATTAATAAAATGGAAGCTGACAAGTCTCTATTGATAAAAAAGTGCGAAAAGGCTTTTGGATCTGATGGTATTTCAATAGAAGCATGTAAATGTTTAATGGAGCTAAAAATTTCTCAGCTCTCTAAATTTTTTAATATTATTTTAAAAATTTTAAAAATGTCTAGTGATTGGTCATAAGTGGAGAAAAAGTTTATTGATTTACATTTTTAAAAATTAAAGGAATGTACAAGATTGTGCAAATTATTGAAGAATCAAGTCAATGCGTCACATTAATTAAGTTATGGGAGAGATTAATTGAACATAGGTTACGATATGATACGAAAATTTCTCAAAATCAATTTGGATTAATGTTAGACAAGTCCACTATGGAAGCTATACATTTATTGAGATGTTTAATGAGAAGTGCAGAGAGAGTAAAGATTATTTACATATGATTTTTACTGATTTAGAAAAAGTTATGATAAGATTCCAAGAGAAATATGCATATATTGGAAAGTTTTAGAAAAAAAATGGTTGATATTGCGTGTATTCAAGTCATTAAAGATATATTTATTATAGTTGTTGCTTGTGTTCAAGCACAAGAAGGATTTGTCAAGTATTTTTCTATTTTGGTTAGATTACATCAGTGATTGGCTTTAAGCTAATATCCTTTTGCTTTAGTTTTGAATGTTATTACTGGCCATTTAAAGGAGGATGTAGCTTGGTGTATGTTTTTGCCAATTATATATATTTTGTGGATAAGACTAGAGAGAGTTCCAAAAAAAAAAACTTGAACTATGAGGGTCAAACTTAGAGTTTAAAGGCTTCTGTTCCAGTATATCTAAAATTAAATATATGAAATGTAATTTAGTAGCAGTAGATCTAATAATGGGGTTATAATAATGGGTGATCAAGTCTAAAGGAGTGAATGTTTTAGCTATCTCTGGTCTATCGGTCAAAGCGATGGTGATATAGATGGGAAGGTTATTAGTAAAATTCAAGTTGGATGGTTGAAGTGGAGGAATGCATCAGGACTATTGTGTGATAGAAAAGTACCACTTGAAATTTTATGAGATGCGGCGAGGTCTCATAATCCTCGAAAGTGGCGGACAAAATTTGAGAGAGTCGCCTTTAGATTGTTTGGTCATATTAAACGTCAAACATCTATGACTCGGTTGGGAGATTAGATGTTCTATATTTGACTTGCGTTGAGAAAAGTTTAGGTATATTTAAAAAGAATTGGGCATGTTGTATAAAAATTATCTTAATTTATTTGAATTAAATGAAGATTTGACGTGCAATGGGACACAATGGAGAAAAAGGATTCATGTGACGGACCCCACCTAGTGAGATAAAGACTTATTGTTGTTGTTGTTGCTGTTGTTGTAATTTATCTGAGAACTGTGAACTATTAAGCTCACTCATTTTGATAGAAACTAACATTTTAGATTTTTTGAGCTGTAATGGAGAAAAAATATTGATGTAGTAACCCCACTCAGTGGGATAAAGGCGTGTTTTTGTTGTTGTAATTTATTTGAGAACTATGAACTATCGAGTTCGCTCACAGTTCTTAGCTTTTTTGTGCTGTTTGCCCTCCTAGACATGTTTGCTAGAAACTTGCTAGATTCAGGAAACAAAATAGCACATCCAGCTAATTC